TGATTATATCCCACCTGAATTTAGAGACCGTCTAAAGAACAGATTTGACTCATTGAACACCAATGACTAAAAACCAGATGAATTATAGGATGACATCACTAACATCATCCATGAAGAAAGTGAAAGGTCATCAAAAAGACAGGAAAGGAATAAAAGACCAAAATGGATTCAGAAGAGACTCTGAAACTTGCCCTTGAATGGAGAATAGCTAAAGCAAATGGAGGAAATGACAAGATACAAGAGCTGAATAGAAGATTTCAAAGAGCAGCTGAAGAAGACAAAGTCAATTATTATAATGAAATATGCAAAGACCTGAAGTTAGAAAAACAAAAGGGAAGAACATGTTAAGCGTTTCTCAAGCTGAAAGAGCTGCAGAAAAAATTCAAGCCTTGAGTTGCAATACTGAAAGGTTCTATGGGCAGAGTATTAAATGATGCAGGAAGCATCCAAAGAAGATGGAGGGAATGCACAGAGTCACAGTACCAAAAAGAGTTGCTCAATGTTCATCCATTTCAGGAGGCGGCATAGGACCAAGGACTAACAGTATTGCAGGAAGAAGTCAAAGCTGGATGGAAGGAATTGGTGAAAAACTAGTCTCCAGGAACTGAAAGAATACCTACTGAGATGTTACTATAAACAGATGCTGTGCTGAAGGCACTTACTCTTCTATGCCAAGAAATTTGGAAGACAGCTACCTGGTCAACTGACTGGAAGAGATCAATATTTGTGCCAATTCCAAAGAAAGGTGATCTAACAGAATGTGGAAATTATAAAACAATATCACATGCAAGTAAAATCTTGCTAAAGATAATTAAAAAATGGTCGTAGCAGTATACTGACAGACAACTTCCAGAATTGCAAGCTGGATTCAGAAGAGGACATGGAACAAGGGCTATTAATCACTGCTGATGCCAGGTGGATCTTGACTGAAAGCAGAGAATACCAGAAAGACGTTTACTTGTGGTTTATTGACTATGAAAGGCATTTGATTGTGTGGATCATAACAAATGATGGGTAACGTTGAGAAGAATGGGAATTCCAGAACACTTCATTGTGCTCATGAGGAACCTTTACATAGACCCAGAGACTGTCATTCAAACAGAACAAGGGGATAGTGAATGGCTTACAATCAGGAAGGGGGTGTGTCGTAGTTGTATTCTTTCACTTATTCAACCTGGATGCTGGGCCATATGAAGCCGATCGTGGCGTCAGGAGGAAGAGTCATCAACAACCTGCCACATGCAGAGGACACAGCCTTGCTAGCTGACAGTGAAGATGCCTTGAGGCACTTACTGATGAAAATTAAAGACTGCAGTCTGCAGTGTGGATTACACCTCAACATAAAAGAAAATGAAAATCCTCACAACTGGACCAATAATCAGCATCATGGTAAATGGAGAAAAGATTGAAGCTGTCAAAGATTTCATATGACTTGGTTCCACAATCAACACCAATGGAATCAGCAGTCAAGACATCAGACCATGTATTACACTGGGTAAATCTGCTGCAAAAGACCTCTTTAAAGTGCTGAAGAGCAAAGATGTCTCCTTGAAGACTAAATTGTGCTTAACCCAAGCCATGGTATTTTCAATCGCCTCATATGCATGTGAAAGTTGGACAATGAAAAAGGAAGACAGAAGAAGAGTTGATGCTTTTGAATTGTGGTGCTGGTGAAGAATGCTGAAAGTACCATGGATTGCCACAAGAATGAACAAATCTGTCCTGGAGGAAGTGCAGCCAGAATGCTCCTTGGAAGCAAGAATGGCCACACTTCATCTCACCTACTTTGGTCATGTTGTGAGAAGGGACCATTCCCTGGAGAAGGAGATCATGCTTGGTAAGGTGGAGGGTCAGTGTAAAAGAGCCAGACCCTCAAGGAGATGGATTGACACAGTGGCTGCAAGGTATGGCATGGATTGCATGGCTGGCACAGGACCCAACATTGTTTCATTTTGTTGTCCTTCGGGTCACTATGTGTCAGAGCTGACTTGACAGCACCTAACAACAGCAACAACACAAGACAATAACAAAACAAACTACCCTACTTTAAAACTGGATAGGGGATTTAACAGACACTTTACAAAGAAAGATACACAGATGGTAAATAAGGACATGAAAAGATGATCAACATCATTAGTCATCAGAAAATCAAAAAAAAAAAAAAAAAATCAAACTCACTGCTGTCCTGTCAATCCCGACTCTTAGCGACCCCTCCTTGGGTTTCCGAGGCGGGATCTCTACGGAAGTAGATTGCCCAACCTTCCTTCTGAGGAGTGGCTGGTGGGTTTGAACCACCAGCCTTCTAGATAGCAGTCAAATGCCTTAGGCAGTTGCAAATTAAAAGCACAGTGAGATACCACTACACACACATCAGAATGGCTGAAATTAAAAAGACTGACCAAACCAAGTGCTAGCGCAGATGTGAAGCAACTGTACTTTCATACACTGTGGGTGGGAGTGTAAAAGGATAGAACTGCTTTGGAAAAGTATTTAGCAAAGTTAAACATGCCTTGATCATATGACACAGTATTTTCAGTCCTAGGTCTTTACGCAAAAGAAATGAAGCACATTGCCGTACAAAGAATTGTACCCAAATGTTTATAGCAATTTTTTTGACAATAGTAAAAAACTGAAAGCAACCTAAATGTCCTTGGGTTGGGTCCTGTGGTACATCCACACAATGCAATACTTGAGCAATAAAAAAGAATAAGCTGTTGATATACACAGCAACACGGGCGAATCTCTAAATGGCATGCCGACTGAAAGAAGTCAGGCAAAAAGGATACTCACTGTGTGATTCCATTTATAGAAAATTCTATGAAATGCAAACTAAACTATCCTGACAGAAATAGTTTGAGTGGGAAGATTGATTGTAAAGAGGCAAAAGATAACTTTCTGAGGTGACGAAAATATTCTATATTTTGTTTGGGGTGGTGGTTACATGTGTGTGTACATTTTTCAAAAGTTCTTGAACTGTGCACTTAAAATGGGTGCATTTTATTTTATGTGATTATATCCCAACAGAGTTGATTAAAATAGAAAAGGTCAAAAAGCCGAACAGAACAAAGCCAATGACATTTTGCAAAGGTTGCAGACATTGGAATGACAAGTCAAGAATCTGAGAGGCTAGGGTGTTGGTACCATCACCTGTGTAGATTTTGAAATCACCAAGAATTATGGCAGGAGTAGTAATAGGGACAGTGGCAGTAATGCAGGGGCTAAAATCCTCAAGAAATAAGGGCGAGTGCCCTGGGCTTGGAAGATAACTATAGCAAAGAGGGGTAGTCAGTGACTTAGTCTGATGTCATGAGACCCAACAGAAGTATTTCTCTGAATGGGAGAAGAAGAACGGTTGGTAAACAGCAACGAAGAGCAAGGACACCTACCCCATCACCAGGTTCAGCGGTCACAGGAAAGAGACCAAAGCAGCCACTTCCTGAGAGGGCCCCAGCTGGTGCAGTGTTCTCATGGAAGAGTCAGGTTCTCAAGATCTCAACCTCAACATGTTCCAAACAGAATCACTTCTGTGGCCTTTACTCCATACACAAACCTCGTTTATTAGGGGCGCCTGAGCTTGTGAATGGCACTGCCATCCACCCAGTAGCTCAAGGTAGAAAACGGAATCATCCCTCTGCTTCACCCCCAACATTCAATCCAGCACTACTTCTAGATAATTTTCCATACAAATATCTTCCAAACAAATTCAGTTCTCTCCGTTCCCATGGCTGTGACTTCATCCATCCATTCATTCAATCACCCAGTGCTTAGTTGGCGCTTAGTATCTACCAAGCACTGTTCAGTGCTGACTACCCATGTCCAAGCTCTCAGCATCTTTCGTCTTTAGGAATTAATTTTTTTTTTCTCTTACATGTCACTTCTCCACAAGCTTGTAGCCTGTAGAAGGAAATAAAGGAGACTTCCTCTTACAACTGCTCTTATCAGTTATTTGTAGCCATATTAAGGTAACAGAAACCCTGGGCATAATTTAAACTTTTTGGCTGACTCTTTCCCTGGTAGTGGGTGAGACAGAGGAAATTCTTTCTTTTGTGGTGTCAGGGAGTGAAAAGGTATGGGAAGAGGCAACCGACCTTGGCAGCTGCATTTTTTTTTTTTTTTAATAACACTTGTGTACAGAAGTCAGACTAAGAATCCAATCAGAACTGAAGTTAGTGGGTGGAAACATGATTAGGGTGGGGAGCAGGAAAAAGAATAGAGTCTGATAATAGACACAGCAGGAAGGGTGGATCACCTTTGGCAAAAGCAAAGGCAAAACAGTGAGGTGTGGAGGAAGTGCAATAAAGTTTTACAGGAAAACTGAAGTTTTTTTTTAAAAAAATGTTGATATTATGATTATTTAAAGTGCCATCACATAAAATTTTAGGATGTAAATTCCCTAGGCTGATGAATTACCTACCTCTTAAGTATCTTTGACTGGCAAAGACATGATGTAGTCATTCACCAAAACAACTTGTTCTCTTTGTGTTTGTGATCTAAGTTTCTAAACATAAACAATAATAATGGCAATAATAACAAC